CAGGTTTTCGATTTCTAAGTTTAGGTATCCGGATTTGTATTTTTTTGATTTTGGACTTTTTTATTTCAATTTTTCGGTATTTTAATTTTTCAATGTTTTAAATTTTAGATTTTTCGATTTTTCGATTTTTCAGTTCTTCAATATTTATATTTTTCAATTTTTCGATTTTTCATTTTGCGCTTTTACGAATTTTTTATATTTCAATTTTTTGCCATCTTGGTTTTTCGATTTTTAAGATATATTTCAACTTTTCAATTTTTAGATTTCTCGATTTCTCAACTTTTCAATATTTTAATTTTTCAATTTTTAAAATTCTGAATTTTGCGATTTCTCGAGTTCTCAGTTCTTCTGTATTTCAAATTTTTAATTTTCGAATTTTTAACTTTTCGATTGTTTGATTTTGGCCTGTTTCGGTTTCTCTCTTTTTCGATTTTTCGACGTCTCAACTTTTCGACTCCTCGATTTCTCGATGACTCAGTTTGAATTTTTAGATGTTCCGATTTTTCGATTTTTTACTTTTGGATTTTCGATTTTCCAATTTTTGGATGTTTCAATGTTTCAGTTTATTTTAATTTTTCAATGTTTTAAATTTCAAATTTTTCGATTACTTGATTTTCGGTTTTTTAGTTGTCCGATATTTCTATTTCTCAATTCTGCGATTTTTGGATTATTCAATTTTGGTTTTTCGATTTAAAAAATTTTACGACTTTCCGATTTTTAGATTTCTCGATGTTTCAAGTTTTCGATTTCTTAATTTTTTCAGTATCATCAGTTTTGCGAACTTTTCAATTTGTGTTTACGTATATTCGATATTTGAATTTTTGAATTTTAAAAAAATCAAAATTCATTTTCCGATAATTCAACTTTTCTATTTGTCAGTTTTTCGATAGTTGAGAGCTCTTTAGGCATGTGGCGTTACTGCTGAATGTTTTCCCAATATTAATATCATACAATGTATGGAAAATAACTAGAAAAGTCGTTACTAATAATATGTAAAAATGAATACAAAGTAGAACACAATACGTATTTCTAAAACATTAAAATAACTGCACTTAACATGTAATTCTTAGTTAAACAAATAATAGTTGCATGTATATCCCGCAGAAATTCTGAAGACTTGTAGAGTCGACATTGGGTTGAACGCGCTCTGGTCTGTAGATCAAACAAGTTCTCAGGCGACTTAATTCATTCTAACTTGGTGTCAAGTGCGAATTAATTGTGTACTGTCCCTTTTTTTGTGAATGTTTGGATTTTATGTGCTCCAAATCCGCATATTTTGTGAGTTAACAAATTCACTTAGGTGAATCGGTAAAATTGTTTTTTTTACAATGTTCGATTAATAAAAAGTGCTGTTGTTGGAGGTAGCACAATTATCCACAACATTTAAGGTAAGAGCACTCTCAAAGTTAACTTGATTACAATCAATAGATATTGATCCTTCAAATCAAATTCAAAAGATAGCTTTGGTGCAAAGACTCTTCACACAAGTTGTACTTTCCTAGAAAAAGATAAATTTTAATTGTCTAAGTAGACGCACCCATCGACTTTGCTTTGGAGCTTTGGAGGTTTGGAATTCACTGTTTTTGGAGTCTCCGTTTTCAGTTGGAACCTCGTTGTGCCCTTTCCGATTTTTTATTTATTATTTTCAAAAAGTAATACCACTATGAATATTTAAGTAAACAAGAGGTAATTAATTATTATCGTCGATCAGTTCTTTTAAAAATGTGAGGGTATTTAACTTCTTGGGGAAGTATTGATTACAAAATAACTTTTCTTCCAGTGTTGTTAATTAGGGTACTTAAATACGGAAATAAAATCGATGTTTTAATCCGATATAAACCGTATTTAGCTAATGACCATTCGAGTTTAAATAGGCTACTAACATGAACAACAATCGATGTTTTAATGTCCAGTAATAAATCTTCTTAAGCCTTATTAGGCTCAATTATTGCCATAGATTCGTATGGATAAGTAACTATTGTTCCATTTATCATCGAGCGTTATCTCTAAACCACAGTAAAATCGTATTAACATACGATTTGTTTATATGCAGGATACCAATTAACTCCACAAAATTAGCCACGGATCAGATTTATGTTTTATAAGATTTAAATCAAAATTTTTGCAGTAAAATGTTTCTTCCAGCACAAGTAAAGTTATTTAGAGTGTAATGGTAATCGCGTTTTATAAAAGAAGCGCAAACCGTGTGCATATTTGCGCGAGGCGGCGAAGATAGTGGAAAAGCAAATACATTCGAGCGTGTTTTGTTTAGAATATGAAATATTAACAAGCGCGATGGCACTTTCATGATTTATGAAGACAAACAATTTTTTTATCTGGTTAAGGCAACAATGTTGCGTTTCGGTTGACGCGGTTGACAACTTCAATATTATATTTATAATGCGGTAGGTTTCCCTAAACCCGAAGCAAATGCGGGTCGAGAGAAGCTTTTTCAAATAACGTCTAAAGTAAATATTCAGCCGAACGTCTTAGTGTTAACAGAACTAGAGATTATCGGTGTCACCCTTTGGCTTCTCCAGTTCAGGCCTGAAATTGAATTTGATTACACGCTTCCGCACCAGATAAGTCCAATCTGGCCTAGATGAATACCTCGCGCTTTAGTCGAAAACCCCGATGAAAAGACGAAATTTGCTTATAACTTCCCTTTTTAAATATTTGTTCCGTTTTTTCTTATTCACCCCAGCGCATTTATGTAAAACGCTTCCTCTACTCTGGAACGTCTTAATAAGTTACGCGCTTTTTTCGCCCCACAATCGCCGACAAATAAATTCTGACGAAAGTGCTCAGGCGAAACGCACGTCCACCGTTTAAAGTATAACGCTTGAATTCGGCAGGATTAATATGGGTCCGGACTGCTCAGGGATTTTTTAATCGGTCGATTGAAATGAATTCTAATTTGAATTCCATTGATTTCATACTGGAAACAGCGTTTTAAAAGAGGATTAAGGAACCAATACAATGGAATAAATGTGTAGATTCTGAGCTCGGCATTGCAATAAGTAAAAAGTAATTTTTAATGACCGAAATTATGCTCGCCGATGCGGTCATTTAGTCAGAAATATGCATAATGTATTGCCGAGCGCAATATTATATCAACCATTAAACCGACAATATTACCTACAATAAACCGAGTTGTACGCTTCGTTATGATAAATGATGATTTTATGATGAATTTAAGAAATAAACATAATCTTGTACTTAAACAAAAATTTAAGTTTCAAAGGTCAGATAATTAATTATTTATGTTTCTTTTATTAGTCTTACGAAAGAGTTGGCCAGCACACAACCCTCGTCGTGTTCGGCCCAACCAGGGAAAACCCAGGTTCAATAAGGGTACCTGAAGGGAGGGGTGAGGAATTAACCCTCCTCCCACCCTTATTAATATTTATAGCTTTGTACACCTTAGGCAGAGTAAAAATAAACGTTCAACGGTAAACACGTGTTCTTATTGTGCCCTCCACCACATACATATTTTGTTCATCCATTGTGATCTGGCCCTTCGCCCTAATACGGTGGTCCACTATTTGCATAGCATACGCGAAATAGTCACGACGATCCACCACGTGCAGAATCGACTGTGCCTATGTGAACCCCTCACCTCAGTAGGTTGAGATCCATTGATGGAAAGAAGCTCTGTAATATTGCTGACTTTACAAATCTTCCGGTTGTTGGGAACATTAAAAAAGAGTTTCGAGCCCTTGACAGTGGAAATTTCTAATTCGACAAGAAAACACACGACTAAAAGGACCTCTCTGGGAAGACAAATAATTTTCCACAAGTATAAAGGATTCAGAAGGGTTTTGTACGTAAGCGAAGAAAAATATTGTTTCTCCGGTGGGAATCGAACCACACGTTTACCGCTTGCCGGGCGGGTGCCCTTACCACTAGACTACGGAGGAGCTCATCGTTCTCCGCTTACCAACGTGTTATTGTGCCGCCACAGCTCTCAGTAAGGACGCGTCTCATCTGCTAGTTTAGGGTCGCTGCATACATCTTATTATCATTATTTTTATTTTTATACCCACCACTGATCAGTAAATGACTGCTGCTATTATTCTCTAATTTCGCCTCATCTTCGTGACAACCAGTCTACTTGTGCTAACCTACTCTGACTAATAAAATTAGACTGATCGAGAAACTTAGGAAGAATATGTTCCTAACAATATAGATTTTTATTATAATAAAATTTTAATACAAATCAAATTCTCAACTAATTTATTTGGTAGTACACCTACATTGAAGATAACTAAAGGCACAATTGAAAGCTTTTGAAAATTGCCTTCATTTCTCTATCGACAATTGCAGAAAGTTGTAAATTTTGTTGTGGTTTGTTTGTATTATGTTCGGAACAGCAACGTCAATGAGAATGACTTCGTTGGGTATTTCTTTATAAGTATGACATGTAACCTGCTGGCTACATTGATTAAATTTGTAAGTACTATATTCGGAGTTTTCAAGAAATGGAGTGATGTAAGTAACGGGTGTCTAACTAAAGATCTGGTCTTAGAGGGTGGCCTCCATATATGTATATAATACTACTATATTGCTAACTGGTCTCAAAAAAGTCTCAAAACAACAGTAAAGCAATATATCGGACCTCACTCTATCTCTATGGTACCAAACTGTATAGTACATGCCTTCATACTTACTTGATCTGTAGTCGATCGCATGGTTGGATTCATTTTGACATTTCGTACTTTCGCTTCTAGAGGGTTTTTATAAATGCTTATAGGGTCGAGGTAGGTCATGGAAACGTGCCGCCTCTCAATTTATACGAACTTTGCTAAATGCCCAAGGACTCACAACAAATACCACACGCATCTGTATAACTGATTGCCTAAATACTTCACTCTCTTTTTAATTTCAAAAATGTTCTGTAACATCCTTTCGACCCATTGTTCAATTTCATGTTGCAATAGGAACTCCTGACTGGTGAGGAAATCTTGTCAAAGATGTTTGCGGATTCTGCTCAAGTCGTCTCAAATCATCAACAACTTCCTCAGATAGTGAAGGGCTTCCAGGAGATTTCCCCTTGTCGACACTGCCAGGTCGAACAAATCTGTTGATTACATCTGTAATGATGTTTCTTAAATTATGAAATCGCGGTATTTGGCCAGATATATTTTCTTACAAACGGTTAGAGCATATACCCACTCTCCGTTTACGAATGTCCCATTACGGTAATAACACATGATAATGAAAAAGTCTTGTTCAACAAAATAAACGATTTTCACGGTCTTCGCTTCCTAGCACAAAACAAAATTTAATTCACACTTGAAAAACGTAAAACAATAAAAACACGTGAGAACTGTCATAAAAAGTGAATGGGTGTGTGATACAAGTGAACTTATTACTGTTATCGTAATTATTTTTTTATTTTTTTTTATTTTATTTATTTTCCAACGGGGTTACACCCAATTACAGGAAAAATATAAATGGAAACTGAACAAAATTAAAAATTAAAAATTAACAATTACAAGAAAGTAAAACTAAAACTAAAAGAAAAGAAAATTCTACCTATATAATGATTGCTTAACACACCTAACAATTTTGCTTAACACAACTAACAATTTTGTTAATCGAGTCGAAATTTATATCGCATAAGTGTGAAATTTGATTGAAATAAATACACATAATACTAACTGGAGATCTTCTTAAAACGTTAGTTCTGTCAGCAGTACAATAAAATACGTGATTATGGCGTACATTAATTCTTGGCACAAGAAAATTTAAATAGTGAAGCAATTCAGGGCAGTCTACTACTTGATTTCTAACTAAAAAAAACAAAAATTTAATGGCGATAATAATTCGTCTTTTATGTAATGATAAAAAATTAAATCTTAATAATCATAACGAGTGGTCATATCCTCGACAAGGATAGACCCCATCCAAAAGAAAAGACATAAATTTTAAGAACAAGCGTTGAACCGATTCTATATGATCAATATGGTTTTGATAAATTGGAAACCAAATTAAGGCACCATATTCAATTCTCGATCTGACTAGTGCGAAAAATAGAGCCTGTACGTGTCGACACGCTTAAAGTCACGACAATTTCTGTAAATAAATCCATATGTCCGAAAGCATTTGGAAACCATATCATTTATATGATCGACAAAACTAAGCTTACAATCAAAGAGGATACCAAGATCTTTAATAGACTCACATCGCTTAATTAAAGTACCATCTGTATTGTAAGAAAAGAGTATATTATCATGTTTTCTTGAGTAAGTTACGATGGAGCATTTATCAAGATTTAAGTAAAGTCGATTAACTAAGCACCAATTAACAACAGCTGTTAAATTGTTTTGTAGATTTAGACAATCCTGTATCGAGTTGATTTGGAAAAAAAGTTTTAAATCATCTGCAAACATTAACTTTATACAAGAGATGTTATCAACGATATCATTAATAAAATATAAAAATAAAAGTGGTCCAAGGTTAGATCCTTGGGGAATACCTGAAGTAGGTTTGATAACAGTAGATGTAAAATTGCGATATCGAATATACTGTTCACGATCGAAAATGTATGAAGTAAAAAGTTGGATAAGTCTGTCAGAGAATCCAAAGTGCTCAAGCTTATCGATTAGAAAATAGTGATCGATTTGATCGAATGCTTTTTGAAAATCAAGATATATGGTATCTACCTGCTTTTTTTTGTCGATGGCCTCAGATGTATACTGTGTAAAAGATGCTAGATTAGAAATTGTAGAGCGTTTCTCCATGAACCCGTGCTGAAACTGTGACAAATTGGTTTTGGTCGAAGCATAAATGTCTTTAAATAAAATAGACTCGAATACTTTAGCAAAATTACAAAGCAGCGAGATGGGTCTGTAATTGACAATTTTCGATTGACTTCCTTTTTTAAATATCGGACAAACTATTGCCTTTTTCCAAATAACAGGAAAGAGACCACACCTTAATATTAAATTAAATAAATATAAACAAGGTTTAATAAAAACATAGGCACAGTCCTTTAAAAGGAAGCTGGGCACACCATCGTGTGCCATAGTAAAAGAGTCTTTAGAACTTTTTAGTGCTGTAAGAACATCCTTTTCTGATATGGTTTCAAGATTAACCAAGACAGACGACCTAGTTTTAGAATTGGAAGAAGAAGTAAGCGGATTAGAGTTGGTATAAACACTGTTAAAATAGTGCGCAAATCCTTCAACTATAGATAGCGGTGATGTACGCTCGGTATCATTGTATTCCATTACGCCTGGAATTTTAGAGTGACCTTTTTTGCCATGTACGAAAGCCCAAAATTTTTTTGGATTTGTGGAGACGCTGTTCTCGATATTAGAAATATAATTCTTGTATGCTGTGTCGATTAAAATGTTGAGCTGGAAACGATATGACTTGAAGATGTTATAATAGTATGGCGTTTTAAATCTTATGTAGTTACGATGGGCCATCGATTTATTACGAATGCAGGCAATAATGTCCCCAGTGAACCAAGGAGGATAACTTTTACGAGATGGAGGCCTAACTTTAAACTTTGGTACTGACTTTTCAAATACTTTATATATACAGTCATAAAACACGGTGCAGGCTTGATTGACATCACAGATTGAGTTTATGAAAGACCAGTCAGTCTCTGAAAAGAGCTTGTACATTAAATGATAATTGGCTTTCTTAAAATTATATGTTAATTTTTCCGTGTTCATCGCAAAATTGGGCTTAAACTGATCATCTAAATAACAGTCCACAACCAGTGCTGGGTGATGTTTATCTTCAACCACTAACGGGGAATCTGCTTTACTTACTTTACAATTAATATTGGAGAACACTAAGTCTAGATTCTAGATCATTACTGTTTATTCGTCATTATTTAAAGCAATGTTAGTGAAACTTGAGTTTTCTATTCTAGTGTAAAAAACTGTTTTTTCATCGTAAGTTTTTATTTGCATACTAATTGTTGGGTCCTTTTTTAACCTCTTAACGTCTGTTTTGATCTTACACATCATAACCTCTCCGTTGCTTTCTTGTCTGTTTCTTTAATAAGTCCCTACGAAAAGCACCGTAGGGGTGAAGTGTGTGTCCCCGTCTTTTAATCTTTTAATCAAAAATTTAATTTTCAAAAATTAGTCTTTTTGTATACATAATGAATTCTGTTTGTTGTAAATGTAAGAGTTTGGTGGTTAATTCTACATCTTGTTCTAAATGTAAGAATGTATTTCATTTGAGCTGTTTGCGTACCTTCAAAAATTATTCGTTAATTGCTGATGATGTAAATTCAATTAACTCCTGTCCTCGATGTGATAAACCCAGTAAAACTGACCTTGAAAATACGACGATCACACTCCTACGTGAAGAGAACGAGTTTCTTAGAGCGGAACTTGATGAATTGAAGAAGTCCTTCCAGGATTCTGTTAAATATATTTTAGATGAAGTTGAGGAACGCGTATCCATGTTATTTGACAATTTACGTGATGATCTAAAATCATCTATACGACGTCTGTTAGACAAGAATTTGATCGTTTTAAGCCTGTGGCACCCACTATTTTTAAAACCCACTTAGGGTCAATTTCTACTGACCAAACGCCTGCTTGTACACCCTCTGAAACTGATAAACCTTATCTGCCCAAGACCCAACTATTTAATCGACGTAAAATTACTTTACTGGCTGATGGTAAGGGACGTGATTGTGTCAAATTACTCAACGAATATCTTTCACACAATGAATACGACGTTTCTTCCATAATCAAGCCCAATGCATCTTTTGAAAAGATAGTTGCCGATAACATTTCGACGGTTCACTGTCAAGACTTCGTTATGATATTTGGCGGAGATGTAGAAGTATTGAGTGGCAAAATACTGAATCATGATATCTTCAACGACTTAGCTTCTGACAAATTTAAAAATACTAAGATTATTCTTATTGGTTATCCATTTTCGCCAGATCGTCCCGTCTTAAACAAATTTGCATATGAGATTAATTGTCAATTACATAAAATTGCAACATCTAATACGCATAATAATATATTTTTCCTTGATGCAAATAAATTTATATTTAGACAGCTTCAATCTCATATGTCCATAAATGACGCTACTAAGAGAACTAAAATAATTTCTCTTGTTAATTACTTATCTCGAGGCAATGTTGATGCCTTAAATACTGCACCTATTTCTCCGAAAGATGTCAACATTTTACTTCAGCTCCTAGAAATGAAATAGTTACCACTCCAATCAATAATTCAAATTCTATGCACGGTAACCTCAGTTTTTTCGAGTCGGTTCGTCTGCGTTCCTAAATTTTGAGTAAAAATAACTTAGTTTCACGTCTAACGGCATCCAATTCTCTAATTCAAAACACTTCACTTAATAGTACTTTCACCACTACGACTCTGAGCTTTTTATATTAGAATGTTAGAGGCTTAAACTCCAAATTTGACTCATTTTCTAACAACTTATTATCTTGTGTTGACGAGGTCGACGTTTTAATTCTTACGGAAACATGTTTGCGTGAGGACGTTGCAAATTCAGAACTATTTCCTGAGAACTATTGCATCTTTCGCTGTGATCGAAAGTATAAACATCTGGGTGTTGCCAGAGGTGGCGGAGTTTTGATTGCCATCAATAACAAGTTTTCGTGTTGTACAGTTGACGTTTCCAATATTACCAACGCTATTCCATCCATCGACTTTGTGGGAATTGAAATATTTCTCTACAATTACTTGCATTTTTTTATCTTTACTGTTTATATCCCTCCATCTCTATCTATAACTGATTATGTGGATTTCTTTGATCCTGTTAGCAGTCTTGATCAAATCCATAACAATCTTGTTCCCTTCGTAGGTGATTTTAATACTTCTAAGTTTGGATCCGAATTAAACAATAACATCAGTCACTGCCTTAATAACTTTGTATAATTTTGCGGCTTCAAGCCAATATAATCATATTCTGAATAATTACGATAGTTTGCTTGACCTTATATTTTCTACGTTTTCCTGCACTGTTTTTAGATCTGATTTTTTCCTGGTACCAGAAGATCCATTTCATCCTACATTATTATTCCATATTGATTTAGTGCCTTGCAACAAAAATAACAATTTTTGTTTTAACTCTGATGACGCTGGTTTTAATTTTAGAAAAGCTGATTTTCCTTGCCTTTATGATTTATTATTATTAAATTACTAGCTGACCCCGTGAACTCCGTTTCACCTACAATTTAATTTTGAATCTGCAAAATCGAATGCTTTGAAATCTTGCAGATGTTTTAAATATATGATAAGCATAATAAATTTGTATTCAAAATATATTTACTTATCCCCTCCAAAAAATTGATGACGTCAGCCCAAAATTTTGCCAAATGAATCCTATCTAAAATGTCCAAAATAGGATGAGACTATACTTCTGATTTATCATTCCATTCATATTTTTTAGTTTTGCTTATAGGGGGTGTCTCAAAAAAATTAATCACTGAGTCAATTTATTTTATTGATTGAATCAAGAATTGCAAAACTGAATTTTGAAATATTGCAGACGTTTTGAAGTTACTGTTTGACATGGTGGGTTTTCAATCAAAATATATCTGTTTATCAAGCCCAAAAACTTGAAGACGTCATCTCAAGATTTTGCCGAATAAATCCTATCTAAAATGTGGAAAATATCATCAGTATATTTTCGTAATTTATCACTGCATTCATATTTTTTAGATTTGTTTTTACAGTGACTCAAAAAAATATATGGATCAGTTAATTTATTTTAGTGAATAACTCAAGAGTTGCAAAAATGAGTACTTTGAGATCTTGCAGACGTTTTAAAGTTATTGTAAGCATGGTAAATTGTTAAGAATATTTATTTATTCCCCCCAAAAAATTGATGGAATGGCTCACTCGATTTTCGCAGATAATTTTGGTAATACAATACAGTTATTTTTAGTATTACACTGCACCAATCCAAGGTGGTATATCTACGTGTTGATAGTAAATGTTGATTAGGTCATCACAAAATTGTGTGAAGAAAAGACTCAACTCGAAAATGCTGAATATGTTTCATTATACTTTTGGTGCGAAGGAAGTTCTGTCGAAACAACGTTCGATCAATTTTTTGACAATGGTTGATATAAATAAAACTCAGTAGATGCTCATACTCGAAATACGAAGTATCTACTCGAATATCAAATCAAAATATTTCTAGTTTTTCTAGATGATACTAATACTTCAGTAAGTAACAGTTGATGCTCAAGTAGCATCTCGATACAACAAAAAAGGACAACAGTGACAGTGTTCAACCATCAAGGCAAAAATCGAGTCACCAAAATATAAGTTAGTATGGGGTAGACACCTTGAGATGGGAATCTCTATGGCCAGTGTTAGAAAAAATGCACTGCATAATTTATGAATAAATAAAAGTTAATTACATGAAAAGTTTTCGATATTCCTTTTCCTAATGTGTTTTTCAAACTGAATGCACCTTTTGACGAAGTTTCACATTCATGAAAGTCACCATGTTTAGTTAAAATTCACTCTTACAACGATCCTACTGGTTTTCTAAGCTACTTTACAGACAGCTCAGTTATTTGCCACGCCGATGCTCACATCTATTAGATTAAATGCTCGCAAAAGGCGTAGATGTTCAGTTTGTGTCCGGGGAGATACAATGTTTCCCAGTAGGTACTCAGTACATAGAGTAGATGCTCAGGTATATAAGAGTAATAAATAATGAAGTAGGTACTTCGTACTTCGAATATGAGTATCTACTCAGTTTTATTCATACCACCCAATGTCTCGCTTCAATGTTTGATTATGTTGATTATGAGCATAACGCTGATCAACTTCCATATCCCATGAAATAAATCAATGCGGTTTGCACCTGAGGTAGTTCGTCGCACATTTGATTCGTGGACCTATATGAGGTTCTCGTCTTCTCGGCATTTTAATGAACTTCATAAAACGACACAGAATTATTTTCACAGTCAATCAAATCTGTAAATTTTGTCTTGAGAATTTTAAAATATTGAAAACTTCAAATTAAATCCTCGAATAACGGTAAAGTTTGAGGTTTTGTCAAAACCAACAAAGTGAATATAGGTAAATAGATTGGCAGATCAAAATGAATAAGAAACTTTCGCAATATGTAATTAAATTTAACCAAGACTTTTCTTAAAATAAACGACGTTTTTTTTTTACGAAAAAACAAAGAACGATTTCAAATGCAATATATGTACCTTTCACAATCACACGGAAGAATTAGTTTTGTATGACACGTCAGTTAGACGACAGGTCCGTCAGAGACGCCAACTATTGACAGTAATTCGAAGTGGCGATTCCCATACAAAATGTTTAGAATTTTTTAATTTTTTACTGTTCTTTTAAGTTATCCTTATTTTTTTTATTTATAAAGCATCCCCGTAATATAAAAAATGTTTCAAATCGGTCAAGCCGTTTTTGAGTCTTAGCGTGACTAATAGGAACAGCAATTGATTTTTATTTTATAGATGATTAATAAATGGGGGTTGGTGGTAGAAATGTGAAAATTTAGGGTTGTGTGTATTTTTTGATGTCAAATCTTAAAAAAATAAAAATAAAAAAATTTGTCAAAAAAATAGACACAAATTTTTTAGGGTGGGCCACCCTTATCACTTAGGGGTTTAAAAAATAGTTTACAACCTATTGTCAGACCTACCGAATAGACATAAAAAATTTCATACAAATCGGTCTACCCATTTCGGAGAAGTTCGGTTACAAACATTGTGACGCGAGAATTTTATACATAATGCATTATTATTTTAGAACAAATTTCATTACGATAAAAAAGGTTATACTGACTCGACCTTAAAAGATAGACATATGCTGTCGCGGACTTTTCTTTAGAACTTTTAGAGGGGAACAATTTCGTTATACATGATTTTTACGTAACTTTAACCGTTTAAGCAGCGTAAGCAACGGAAGCTGTCAAAGGAGGAATAATTTTCCCGTTTTTCCGAATTTTTCATTGCTACTTCGCTCCTAATGATCGT